CTTACAAGTAGGATTTCAATATTATCATACGTCTCTCCCACTGCCATGGCATTGTCATCACAGACATTCTAATATTTTATTTTAATATTTGACAATAGCGGCATGAAATATATTTAGAATCCTGTCAGATTGTGCAGTATGTTGTAAAAACCAAGGCTCTTCAGCTGAAAGATGCTGCAATGTGATAAGCAATGCCAGCTCATCTCCCACACAAGCGGAGTGATGGTAACTGGGGGATTACAAATGAGTGGAAAACGGGCAAGCAACAGTTTTGCTCAGTGGAAAGTTTATTCTGACTCTTAAGTGCATATAATCTTGGGATAGGAGCCTTTTATGTAGGGCCATCCGTAGGCATATATAGCATATGTAGCTGCATAGGGCACCTGAAAATTTGGAGCACCAAATTTTTGGGTGCCCACATGCAGCTACATGTGATCATGTGCCTATGGAGAACCCTGATCGGCATCTGTTGATTTCTGTCTGGCCCAGCCCTCTCTCAGCCATCATCAGCAAGATTGCTTTCTCCCTGCCTTCTTCCTCTTCCCCACCCATGTGCTTCTCTTGGTCAGCCAGCCAATGTTCCTTACTGCCATGCTGGGGATGGGGAGGATCCCTCCGTCTCTGCAGCTCCATGCCCACACCAAGGGAATCCCCAAGCTCTGACAGAAGCCACACTGGGATGGGGTGCGGCCAGAGGGAAGCCAACCCCCAGCAGAAGCTATACACGTGGGGGCATGAGGGAAGCCTGGAACCCTGGCAGAAGCCATGGGGAAGGAACAGCCTTAGGTAACTCGCACAGGGCTGCACACATTGTAAGGATGGCCCTACTTCCAGGTAAATAGAAAACTTTTATTTGCAGATTTCATAAAACTTTTTTCTGCCAACAAATATTCTGCAGCTGGCAATTTGGTATTTTCTCTATTGTGGGCATGCTGAAGACATAGGGGCTGTGTCTACACTGGGCCACTTATTCCGGAAAATCAGCTGCTTTTCCAGAATAAGCTGCGAGCTGTCTACACTGGCCCTTGAATTTCCGGAAAAGCAACGATGCTCTACTGTACAAAATCAGCCGCTATTCCGGAAAAACTATTCTGCTCCCGCTCGGGCATAAGTCCTTATTCCGGAACACTGTTCCGAAAAAGGGCCAGTGTAGACAGTCCAATAGTCTTTTCCGGAAAAGCGCGTCTACATTGGCCACAGACGCTTTTCCGGAAAAAGGGTTTTTCCGGAAAAGCAGCCTGCCAATGTAGACGGTCCTTTTCCAGGAAAAACTGAAAACGGAATAGTATTCAGTTTTAAGCAGTTCTGGAAATTCATGCCAGTGTAGACACAGCCAAAGAGTGGATTACTTCTTTGACTTTACTGTACTGTGATTGCTAGGAACACTGGAAAACTAGCCTATCAAGATGCAGATCCTACTTCTCAATCCAGGGGTCTTGTCAGGCTTACAAACAGAATACAGGTTTGTAAACACCATTTTAATCTCTTTCATGATTTGAATTAATTGCAATCAGATCTGACTGTTATTAAAAACTGAACATTAGAGCTAGTCCCTCTTGTGCTTGCTCAGACACAGCTCCCTATTCATAGCACTGGGAAATTTTGCATGAATATGAACCTGAAAAGTGGACCCATTATGAGATATAAGAATATTATCTGTACCATCTAAAGGGATCCCTAGAAAGAGTTTGTTAGAAGTGTCCAGTGTGATCTGTCTCATAAAATTCAGGACATTGATGTTTTCCAGTCCAGCAGTAACATCATCCAATCTGTCCAGATGGACTTTCGTTGATTCAACACAAATTGCTATCATACTCACGAGTCCTGGTCCAGACAAAGCTGAAATGTACATATAAAATAGTCAGAAGATTAACTTCCATGTTACATGTATTATCCAACTACTGGCAGTAAAGTTGTAACAGATGATGATATAATCAAAATAACTGGATAGACATTTTTTTATAATTTTTAGTTTCATAACCTACCTCTGATTTAAAAAAACACACACTTTGGACATATTGATTAAAATAGCAAAATATAAACTCAAAGCAAATATATGTGCTCCCATTTCCCTGGCAGTACTATTAAAATATTTAACACAATGGTGAGGGAGTCATTGAAACTCTGGCTGTCTTGTGAAACCTGCAAGTTTGTTGGAATCATTAAAGTTATTAGGTTCAAATGACCCAAAATGTTACAAAAATGTCCATAATCAAAAACTTCCAGGTTATCTTTGTTGAAACTATGTAAGCCTCTAATTACAAGGGCTGCACAGCCCTTTAAACAAAACAAAAAACAAAACAAAAACAACTTCAGGCCCAGATTCTCAAAGGAACTTAGGGTATGTCTACACTGCAGCGCTAATTTGAACTAGCTTAGTTCGAATTAGTTAATCTGAACTAAGCTAATTCGAACTAACGCATCCAGACTAAAAAACTAGTTCGAATTAGCGTTTTGCTAATTCGAACTAGCATGTCCACACAGAGTGGACCCTGAACTGGGGTTAAGGATGGCCGGAAGCAGTGCCGGC